TTGATTGATTCCTTGAGGAAGGGGAAATGTAAATAGACTAAAATCTACTGAGATTTTGATTTAAATGAAAAGCACATAGTGTTTCTGTTTTTCTCTTGCGTGGGCAGTTCTAGCCAGCCATATGTTTACTTTGTAAATTTCAGTTGAAGGTGCAACATAAGCTGTTTCAATTTGGGTGGAAGTTTTGTCAGACCTCACAAATTAGATTTATACTCAGGAGTTTGCTAGAATTTTTTGCAGGGGCTGTGGGTTGGTTCATACTGATTAAAGACAACCTATTACATTTTAAGAGTAAATCCTGAATAGCTCTTCCTTGAAACAGAAGGAGTGATGGAATTATATTATCATCATTTGGTGATACTTGTAGTAATAATTGGGGCAAGAATCATTGGTAGATGCTAAAACTGGCGGGTGAGCAAATAAGAAACAGTATTTGCATAGTCTGCAAGTCTCTCTCCATACAGGGAAGTAACTTGGCAGACACCATCTTACCCAAGTACTTCCCACTTCCCAGGACCGGGGTAGAGGTGTGGGGACAGAGGCTGTCCAGGGACGGTACCTTCTCTCTAGTTACACTCCCATCTGCCACTTTGCAGGTGTCGGGTCCCCTCCCTTCCCCAGCTCCTCAGAGTGATCACTCCCTCTGCTAACCAAAGCCAGTACTACCCTCTGTACTCAGAGCCAGATTCCATTCTCGTGACATGTGTTTATTTGATCATTTGCTGAGGGTCTGCTGTGTCCTAAGTGCTGGGAACTCAGTATTAAATAGGACAAGTCCTTGTTCTCCAGAGTCTTCCAGCAGACTCTGCCAGAGAAAAATATCTTATCTGAATTCAACGATTACAGGACTCTGTGATCCCTGCAGAGATATGCATGGGATGCAATAGCTGATAGCCATCAGTAGGGCCAAATGGGTTATTAAATGATTGAAAATACTTTCCTACTGATTGGTAAAAGCCACAACCTGGGCCCCTGGCCACTTCCCTGGGCTAGCACTCACTCACATGCCAAAATAGAATAGAATAATTACAGAGTTAAGCCCAAAACGGGACCTGCTCTCATGCTTTTCTTACTCTTTTCCTGTTGCCCTTATCCTGCCTGGAAGGTCAGGAAAGCCTTCCTGGAGGAGGCGATGCCTTTTCCAAGAGTGACTAGAATTTAGCCAGGTAAAGCATAGCATCTGTTCAGGCCCCTGGATGAGAAGGAATGTGTCACCGCTGAGAAACAATGGGTCATTGAGTATTATGGCTAATGCTGAGGAAAGATGGTGAGAAATGACCCTTAAGAGGTCTGGTGAGGCTAGATCAGAAAGAGCCTTAGGTGCCCGCCTAAGCCAGCTGAATCCAATGAGACAAGCTATAAAATGCCTCTGAAGAAGTTGAAGGTAAGAATTGAGGGGAGTGGCGTGGAGTAAGACAGCCAAATGGAAGGCTCCACTGATGGTGTGTCCTCCCTCCACCACCCTCCCGTCAAGGACCAAAGTTAACACCTATCTACACACAAAAAAGCACCTACATGAGAACCAAAAATCAGGAGAGCACTCACAGTGCCTGGTTTTGCCTTCATATCACTAAAGGAAGCACTGAAGAGGGTGACAAAGACGGTCTTGAATTGGCCATGCCATCCCTCCTCCAACCCCCTGGCTGCAGCCATGTGGCATGGAGAGGGAATCTGTGCTTAGGGGAGGGAGAGCACTGCAGTTGTGAAACACTGTATCGAACTCAGTGCTGCCCTGTCACAGTAGAAGGCAAAACCATGGGGCTGAACTCAGCTGACACCTGCCCACAGAGGGAGCATTTAAACCAGCCCTAGCCAGAGGGGAATTGCAGATCCCAGCAGTCTGAACTTGAGTTCCTGCAGGCCTCACCCCTGTAGGCTAAAGGGCTCTGGGGTACTAAATAAACTTGAAAGGCAGTCTAGGCCACAGCTCCTAGGTGGGTCGTCCTGCTGAACTGGCCTCAGAGCCAGTGGACTAGGTGGGGAGGAGGGAAGGCCACCTATGGAGACACCAGCAAGGGCTGCTAAGAGAGTGCTTGCACCAACCCCTCCCGCTACCCAGGCCGCACAGCTCCTGGCTCCAAAAGAGAGCCCTTCCTTCTGCTTGAGGAGAGGAGAGGGAAGAGTAAAGAGGAGTTTGTCTGGTATCTTGGATACTAGCTCAGCTACGGTAGGATAGGGCCCAGCCAGAGTCCTGAGGCCCTCTTTCCAGACTCTACCTCCCAGATGACATTTGTAGACACTCCCTGGGCCAGAAGGCAACCTGCTGCCTTGAAGCGAAGGAGCTAGTCCTGGCAGGACCCATCACCTTCTGACTAGAGAGCCCTTAGGCCCTGCATAGCCAGCAATGATACCGAAGTAGTACTCTGTGGACCTGGGTGAGACTCTGAGTCTTGCTGGCTCCACATGAGACTCAGCACATTCCCAGCTGTGGTGGCTGTGGGGCAAGACTCCTGCTTAAGAAAAGTGGAGGGACAGGGAAAGGGGACTTTGCCTTGCACCTTAGGTACCAGCTTGGCCACAGTGAGGAAGGGGTCTTTGGAAAGGGGAGGGAAGAGTGGGAAGGGCTGCATCTCGTGGCTTGAGTGCCAGCTCAGCCACAGTACAATAGAACATCAAGTAGACTTCTAAGGTTTTTGACTCCAGTCCCTGGCTCCCAGACAGCACCTCTAGACCTGCTCATGGCCTGGGGAACTGGCCACAGAGGTTACAGTGAGCTGAGATTGCGCCACTGCACTCCAGCCTGGGTAATAGAGTGAGACTCCATCTCAATAAAATAAAATAAAAAACAAAAAGGACAAAATATCTGAATAGGCAATTTCGCAGAAGAAGACATAAAAAATGGCAAACAGGTATAAGAAAAAGTGCTGAACATCATTGATCATCAGAGAAATGCCAGTCAAAACTACAATGAGACATCATCTCACCCCAATTAAAATGGGCTTTCTCTGAAAGGCAATAAAAAATGCTGGTGAGGATGTGGAGAAAAGGGAACCCTTATTCACTATTAGTGGGAATGTAAATTAGTACAACCACTATGGAGAACAGTTTTGAGATTCTACAAAAAGACGAAAATAGAGCTACCTTACGATCCAGCAATCCCACTCCTAGGTATATAACCAAAAGAAAGGAAACCAATATATCCAAGAGATACCCATACTCCCATGTTTTATTACAGCAGTATTCACAACAGCCAAGATCTGGAAGCAACCTAACTGTCCATCAACAGATGAATGGATAAAGAAAATGTGGTGCTTATACACAATGGAGTTCTCAGCTTTAAAAAAAAAAAAAAAAAAGAAATCCGGGTGAGGCGTGGTGGCTCACGCCTGTAATCCCAGCACTTTGGGAGGCCGAGGCGGGCGGATCACGATGTCAGGAGATCGAGACCAACCTGGCTAACATGGTGAAATCCCTTCTCTACTAAAAATACACAAAATTAGCCACGCATGGTGACATGCACCTGTAGTCCCAGCTACTCGGGAGGCTGAGGCAGGAGAATGGTGTGAACCCGGGAGGTGGAGGTTGCAGTGAGCCGAGATCATGCCACTGCACTCCAGCCTGGGTGACAGAGCGAGACTCCACACACACACACACACACACACACACAAATTCCTGTCATTTGCAATAATATGGATGGAACTGGAGGTCATTATGTTAGCTGAAATCAGTCAGGCACAGAAAGACAGACTTCGTAAGTTCCCACTTATTTATGAGAGCTAGAAATTAAAATAATTGAAATCATGGATATAGAGAGTAGAAGGATGGTTACGAGAGGCTGCGAAGGGTAGTGGGGAGTGGGAGATAAGTGGAGATGGTTAATGGGTACAAAAAATAGAGTAAGACCTAGTATTTGCTAGCACAACAAGGTGACTATAGTAAAAAAATAATTTATTTGTACATTTTTAAATGACTAAAAAAGTATATTGGATTTTTTGTAATACAAAGGATAAATGCTCGAGGTGATGGACACCCCATTCTCCCTGATGTGATTATTGAGCCTTGCATCCTTGTATCAAAACGTCTCATGTACTCCATAAATATATACACCTACTGTGTACCCACAAAAATTAAAAATAAATAAATGAGAAGCAACAAAATCAGTCCTATATTTTACAAAAATAATTATGACGTAATTGAAATTGGGAAAAGCAATTGAAGGGCAATAGAACTGTTTGCCAGCTGTTGAAGTAATTCAGTAAAGAAATGGGCACCTATTCTAAAATAAAAGCAGTAGTGATACAGAGACATGACTGGAACCCAAACACTAAAAAGGTAGAATTAATAGGGCTTCGTTATTGGGTTGAAATGGTGAGCTACCTGTTATGAAATTTTGAAATCTATTTAGCATCAGATACAATGGTCTTATCCAAAGTAAACCGTTTAGTAACAATTTTGGTTATGCTTCTAAAATTAGGAATTCATCTTGGCCGGGCGCGGTGGCTCACGCCTGTAATCCCAGCACTTTGGGAGGCCGAGGTGGGCAGATCACGAGGTCAAGATCAAGACCATCCTGGCTAACACAGTGAAACCCCGTCTCTACTAAAAATACAAAAAATTAGCCGGGTGTGTTGGCGGGCACCTGTAGTCCCAGCTACTCTGGAGGCTGAGGCAGGAGAATGGCTTGAACCTGGGAGGCGGAACTTTCAGTGAGCAGAGATCGTGCCACTGCACTCCAACCTGGGCGACAGAGCAAGACTCTACTTTAAAAAAAGAAAAGAAAAAAAAAAATTCATCTTGTCCAGGAACTTATTATATAATAATTAACTCATTTTCAAACCATTGTTTTCCTTAACATAGTAGGTAAAAACCGTGCATTTGCTAGTCTTTTGGCAACGATGGTTACAGTGAAGGTATTGTACTTTGCAGCTTATCAGAAAGTGTGTGAACAGCAAGACTTTTGCAGTTGTAGGTTCCAAAGTTTGGGAAATATGCATCCTCCTTCAGTCACCTATGGTGCATAGGCTGACCTGCATGCCTTGGGTTGGTCCTGTTTTCCCCAGGATGGATCATGAAGCCGCCCAGCTGGAGAAGCAGCATGTGCACAACGTGTACGAGAGCACAGCCCCTTACTTCAGTGACCTGCAGAGCAAAGCGTGGCCTCGTGTCCGCCAGTTCCTCCAAGAACAGAAGCCGGGCAGCATCATCGCAGACATAGGTAACCCACCGTTGGGCCATGCAGCATGAAATATCTTCCATTGAGCCTTTGCAGATTCATTTTTTATTTTTGTTTTAATAAGAATCCCAATTGTACCCTTGGCATGCCAGTACCTAGAATATTCATTTTACAGCAGAACCTCAGACAGTCAAGTCAGCAGCAAGTAAAAAACTTTCTCAAACTCTTTTTTTTTTTTTTTTTTTTTTTGAGATGGAGTTTCACTCTTGTCAGCCAGATTGGAGTGCAGTGGTACAATCTCAGCTTGCTGCAAACTCCACCTCCTGGGTTCAACTGATTCTCCTGCCTCAGCCTCCCGAATAGCTGTGATTACAGGTGCCCACCACCATGCCCAGCTATTTTTTGTATTTTTAGCAGAAACGGGGTTTTGCCATGTTGGCCAGGCTGGTCTCGAACTCCTGACCTCAGGTGATCTATCTGTCTTGGCCTCCCAAAGTGCTGGGATTACAGGCATGAGCCACCATGTCTGGCCTCAAACTTTGCATTTAGACAGTGACTTTTCAGGGCCTTTGTGTACATCCTCCACCAAAACGGACCTAACATTGATTGAATAAATTAGGATGGAAATGATGGCTTGTGAAACTGACCATTGTAAATTTAAAGACATTCACATTTGCCAAATGTGTTCTCCGCTGGTGGCTCACTTTGAGTGGTTCACATGCCTTCTATAGAATTGTGGGATTATGCAAGAGGTCCAGTAATGTCTTATGAATCTCATGGGTCCTTTCCCTTAATTATTCTGTAGGTGTTTCATTATAGGAGCATATGTTTAATTAGACAGTATTTTCATAATAGCTTATTTGTCTGGAGGACATTGGTTCAGCATCCTCCTAAATCAAGAACTGGTAAACCACAGCTTAGTAGATCTAGGACTAAGACTTAAGTTGTGGTTGGAATCTCATGCGAGGCCTGCCCACCTAAAACTGCATTCTAGCAGTTGCATGCTGACTGCACCCATGAGTCGTAAGTCTGTAGTTGCAAAGTCTGTCTAGTGTGATATACACTCTAAATACTGGTAAGAGAAGCAGACATACTGGAAAACTTATGACTTGCTGAAGATGCTATGAGTAATGTGGAATCTGGGGAAGGGGTGCATATCACATGGAAATCGGGAGTCTTTGAAAAATATCTCTACCATGTAATTTAAAAAATAATAAATCTAGTTTCAGAATGTGCAGTGAGTTTGGATCTATTACCACCTATTAATGTAAGTAAGCCACATACCAGGATCTTAAAATCAGTGGGGAAAAGGAACTATTAGGTAAATGACTTTGGGATAATGACATATACAATCAGAGAGTTACTTTCTCACACCTTACATCAAAATAAATTCCAAATGAAGCAAAGATTTAAGTATAAGGAAATGAGCTCATTAAAGGACTAGATGACAACTAGATTGTAATTTAAAATATTCTCAGAGGCAAAATGCCTATGTATGATACACATACAAAAAGAAATCATAAAAGAATATACAGTTCATTGCCATTATTCACAGTACTTTCATTTCATATATGTATCATAAACATTGAATTGGCAAATACTGAATCATTACTCATAGGGGAAATATTGGATTAGGCTCCTGTAAGCTTCGGGTCACAACATTTTTGTCAATTTACCAATGTGTAAGCTTGTTGCATTTGTGCTTCTGTTTAAAGACACCTTGATTACTGTGTATCATTATTTCATAAACATTGGGCTCATGGCCAACACACTATAACTCTTTCCTGAACAAAGCTTATCTAACACATATATTTTGTCCATCAGAGACATCCCAGCCTTCTTACGTTCAGGAACACTAGACGGCATTTCAGCCCCAGGCTTAGGCTCTTTGAAACAGCAAAATCACCAGTAAAAACTGTACAAATGGAGAAATCGTGGCCCTAAATAGATTATGGAAAGGACACGCGATTACAGTATGGGAGCTGATAAAAGGAGTCTGGGTATGTGGGTCTCAGGTGACTCAAATATTTTGCTGCACTGTGAGTATATAAGTCTGATAATGTCCATGCAGTGCTGTAGTATTGACATTGGGGTTACAAATAAATTTCAGCAGGTAGATTAACTGCAAATATGGAAGCTGTAATTGATGAGGATTAACTGTATTGATGGATAACTTTGACCCTATAAAAAGGGAAAAGTTCCACAAGACAAAAATGTAGACAGACATACAATTCAAGTCAAAAGACCAAAATCAAACTAAGTAAAAATATCTGCAACGTATGTCATAGAAATCTAGATATTTTGTTTGTTTGTTTGTTTGTTTGTTTGTTTGTTTGTTTGTTTTTGAGATGGAGTCTTGCTCTGTTGCCCAGGCTGGAGTGCAGGGGCGGGATCTCAGCTCACTGCAAGCTCCGCCCACCGGGTTCCCGCCATTCTCCTGCCTCAGTCTCCGGAGTAGCTGGGACTACAGGCACCCGCCACCACGCCTGGCAAATTTTTTGTATTTTTAGTAGAGACGGGGTTTCATCGTGTTAGCCTGGATGGTCTCAATCTCCTGACCTCGTGATCCGCCCGCCTCGGCCTCCCAAAGTGCTGGGATTACAGGCGTGAGCCACAAGCCTGGCTGATAATTTTTTAAAAAACATTCTTCAATGTCACTGTAAAAAAAAAGATCAGCATCCTGTCATTGGCGACAACGTGGAGGAACCTGGAAGATATTATGCTATGTGAAATAAGCCAGGCACAGAAAGACAAATACCCCGTGGTCTCACTTATATGTGGGATCTAAAACAGTGGGACTCATAGAAGGAGAGATTAAAATGGTGGTTACCTGGGGCTGGGGTGTCAAAGCAGGTGTGGTAGGTGTAGGAAATGGCAAGATGTTGGTTAAAGTGTTCAGAGTATCAAACAGAAGGAATAAGTTCAAAAGAAAAAAAAGGAAAAATACCATCAAGTCACAAGAAAAATAGTTAAAGGATGTGAACAAGTGGTTCAAAATGTGTAAAAGTATTTTAATAGGTAACCCACCGATATGGTTCAGCAACAAAGCACAAAAGAATGCGTAGTGTAAAATCTTCTCCCATCCCGGTCACTGGCACCAAGCAACCCACACCAGAGGCCTCTGACGCTATTAGCTTCTTGCATGATCTTTTTGAGATGTTTTATGTAAATATAAGCGTATTTGTGCCTGTGAGTGTGTGATGGGTAGTTTCCCTTTTTTTGGTTACACTAATGGTAGTATACTATTAATTATACTCCTAGCTTTTGTTATACTTTTAATATATTGAGGAAATCATTCCATATTTATTTTTATAGAGCTACCCAGTATTAAAAGCTGCCTAGCATTCTGTGCTAATAGTGCCATATTAACATTTAATATATGTTGTTTGCTGTATTTTGCCACTACAAATTACACTACAAATAGGCCGGGAGTGGTATCTCACACCTGTAATCCTAGCAGTTTGGGAGGCGAGGCGGGCAGATCACTCAGCTCAGGACTTCGAAACCAACCTGGACAACATAGTGAAACTCCATCTCTACAAAAAATACAACAACAGTAAAAAAAAAAATTGGCTGGGCATGGTGGCACATGCCTATAGTCTCAGCTACTTGGGAAGCTGAGGTAGGAGGACTGCTTGAGTCTGGGAGGCAGAGGTTGCAGTGTCCTGATGTATTTCAGAAGCAGCAAACTAATCATCTTTGAATAGTGATAGATATTTTTTCAGGTAGAAAAATTGTATAGGTAATGTCAATAGGTACAAATATAGGCTCTAATGGTTTCTTTTAATATTTCTGGAAAGGAATTAGATTATATATCTGTGATAGAATATAATATAAAGTATTCGATTGTAGAAGGCTTTGTTTCAAGGTGGTTATTCATTCATGTTACTACCTTCTTCAACCGTAACATCAGTAAGACCTCAATGATCTAAACCTTTGGGCTTTGTAAATCCAGAATTATTTAGGTCTCTGCCACTGGAAAGTGAATATCAAAAATTGTCTATTTAAGGAAAAAAAAAGTAGTTTTTATAATCTGAGTTGTATACTGGGCCCATAGAGATCATTTTAAATGTAGCAATGAATAGAGATTGGATAAAAACAATGTTAAAAATGCTTTTCTAATTCAAGTTCAAATTTTTAAAAGTTGAAAGGCATGTTTTAGTGTATAAATAATTGAGAAGTTGTTGACAGTTTGTTTTGCAGTCAGCAAGTGGTAAGAATCTTTGGAGAGACAACAGGAGAATAAAGTCCGTAACATGCGTGTATATACAATGAAATATGGATGTGAGCTTAGAGACCGCACACGGTCTCTGGGATACTAGAACTATCTTTCTTGCCATGGATCAGCTAACGTGCCTTGGTTGCACTAGTGTACTGAGCCCTATGGACATTACCTCATTAAATATTCAATAAATGTTATTTTTTTCCTATGGCCTTTCTCTCTTCTATATGAGAATATGTAAGTATTCACTGAAGACTTTTATTTTTGTGAATACCTTCACACCATGTTGTATTCTGTCTTGGTTAGTTTAAAAAAAAAAAAAAAAAAAAAAAAGTTGGCGGGGCGCGGTGGCTCAAGCCTGTAATCCCAGCACTTTGGGAGGCCGAGGCAGGCGGATCTCCTGATGTCAGGAGTTCAAGACCAACCTAACCAACATGGAGAAACCCGTCTCCATGAAAAATACAAAATTAGCAAGGCATAGTGGCACACACCTATGATCCCACCTACTCGGGAGGCTGAGGCAAGAGAATTGCTTGAACCCGGGAGGCAAAGGTTGCAGTGAGCCGAGATCGCGCCACTGTATTCCAGCCTGGGTGACTGAGCGAGGCTTTGTCTCAAAAAAAAATAAATAAATAAGTTAATTATATTTCTTGTTATGAGACAATGAACTATTTCACACTTTCCATTGAGGACAGCATGTAATGCAGGTTTTTCTCTTATAGGTTGTGGGACTGGAAAGTACCTTAAGGTGAACAGCCAGGTACATACCGTGGGCTGTGACTACTGTGGGCCACTGGTAGAGATTGCCCGGGATAGAGGATGTGAAGCCATGGTATGTGACAACCTTAATCTCCCCTTTAGGGATGAGGGCTTCGATGCCGTCATCTCCATAGGAGGTAAGGCAGCCGGATCACACATTCACCCTTTGCCATGAGAATAATTGACATGGTTTAGTCTGTTCTCATGACTCACCATCTGTTCTGTGTAGAAATGTCAATGTAATTTATTTTCTCTAATTTAAAATAATTGTTTCAATGACTTGAGTGATTTGACTCAACTCCAAAATGTATTTATGGCACATATGATTGTTTTAACTATTTAAACCTTCAAATTATCATTGCAGTTTTTTTTATGATTCATTCCAATTTCTTTTATTTATGAGTAAGAAAGGATAAAAGGAATCTTACTCATTGAAAACAGCACTTCATTATATTTAAATGAAGCCAGATTCATGCAAAGCAAAGTAGATTTTTAGAAGTTATATTACCATTTTTTAGGCCAAAATAGTGGCCTTTGTTAGCAGAGAATTCTAGGGCTCACACACCAAGTGTCACCTGGACCAATCTGCCACTCATGGGCACTCAGGTTCAGGGAGAAGGTGGGTCCCATCTGGTCTTGGATGGCATTGTTTTTATAATGCCACTCTGCTCATATACTGCCAGAGATTGTTCATGAGTCTAGGGAATGTGTTTCTCATATCTTCCCAAAAAGTGTGACCAGAAAACGCGCATGCCAAAAAATGGGGAAAAAATTCCATGCCTGAAATACACGCAGGTAAGGAATACATGACACCTCCCATATTTAAATATGCAGGGAAACTTGATATTTAAAGGAATCCTATGGCAAGGTTTTTTTGTTTGTTTTGCAATGGAAAAATCTTTGGCAAAGCAAATTACTTGTCCCAATACACTCTTAAAAATCAACCTATTTGGCTGGGCGAGGTGACTCACGCCTGTAATCCCAGCCCTTTGGGAGGCCAAGGTGGGTGGATCATGAGGTCAGGAGATTGAGACCAGCCTGGCCAACATGGTGAAACCCCATCTCTACTAAAAATACAAAAATTAGCTGGGCATGGTGCAAGCGCCTGTAGTCCCAGCTACTCAGGAGGCTGAGGCAGGAGAATCGCTTGAACCGGGAAGGCGGAGGTTGCAGTGAGCTGAGATCGTGCCACTGTACTCCAGCCTGGCTGACAGAGTGAAACTCTATCTCAAAAAATAAATAAATAAATAAATAAATAAATAAATAAATAAATGAATAAATAAACCCATTTGAATAACAAGTTTTATCCAAGAAAGATGATCTTTTGTAAAATGGAGTTATTCATGACAAAAATGCAGAATACGATGATTTGCTCTTTTCCTAAAATACATGAAAGATTGATTTATCCAACATTAGGTGGGGACTGTTTCTTCGTATGGTGAGGGGAGGCTGCCTAGAAGCCATAACCTTGGAACTAGTAAGGACTGGCAAGAGATGGTTGCCATGGAAACTTGCTCTCTGAGTCTCATTTGCAGTTGAAACTGTTAGATCCATTTTGGTTGTAAGCATAAAGAAGATTGTCTTAGCCTTTGCAGCCTGCTATAACAAAATACCATAGACTGGGTGGCTTAAACAACAGACATTTATTTCTCACAGTTCTGGAGGCTGCACATCCGAGATCACGGTGCCAGCAGGGTAAGGTTCTGGTAGGGACCCTCCTACCAGCTTGCAGATGGCTTAATTATTGCTGTATCATCACGTGGAATGTAGCAGGAGACTGGAAGGAGAAGAAGAGAAAGAGAGAGAGAGAGAGAGAGCAGGCTCTTTGGTCTCTCTTATAAGACCATTAATCCCATCATGGGGGCCCACTCTCATGACTTGGTCTAAACTTCCTAAAGTTCTGATCTCCTAATACGTTCACTCTTGGGGTTAGGACTTCAACATATGAGTCTTGGGGGCCACAAACATTCAGTCTATAACCAGGAGAAAACCTTGTTGAATTAAGCAACACTATACAATGCTTTGAATCTTTAGTGGAAAAAGGTTTTGGTTTGATCATTCCACTTAACTAGAAATTGGAGAAAGGTCAAAGAAATGGGCCGGGTGCGGTGACTCACGCCTGTAATCCCAGCACTTTGGGAGGCCGAGGCGGGTGGATCACGAAGTCAGGAGTTCAAGACCAGCCTGGTGAAGATGGTGAAACCCTATCTTTACTAAAAATACAAAAATTAGCCGGGCGTGGTGGCAGGCGCTTGTAATCCAACTACTTGTGAGGCTGAGGCAGGGAACTGCTTGAACCCGGAACGCAGAGGTTGCAGTGAGCCGAGATCTCGCCACTGCACTCCAGCCTAAGCAACAGAGTGAAACTCCATCTCCAAAAGTAAAATAAAATAATAAAATAAAATAAAATAAAATAAAATAAAATAAAATAAAATAAAATAAAATAAAATATATAAAATAAAATAAAGTCAGATAAATGTGTGGACTCTGCTTTTCTTTTGTCTACACTCATTTTGCTTTTTTTCCTTTTAACTATTTAAACCTTCAAATTGTTATTGGATTTTTTAATGATTCAAGAGTCTTTTAGTTTTTTGAAACAGGGTCTTACTCTATCACCCAGGCTGGAGTGCTGTGGCAGCCTTGATCTCCTGGGCTCAGGTTATCCTCCTGCCTCAGCCTCCCAAGTAGCTGGGACTACAGGCACACACCACCATGCCTGGCTAATTGTTTTGAATTTTTTTGTAGAGATGGGGTTGCTGTATTGTCCAGGCTAGTCTTGAACTCCCGGGCTCAACCAATTCACCTGCCTTGGCCTCCCAAAGCATTGTGATTACAGGCATGAACCACCATGCCCAGGCTAAATTCGTTTTAGTCTGCAAAGCCACCTACATCCAGACCATGCCACGGAGCCACTGGTGAAGGAAGTGGTCATAGACCAGCTTTCTTATACTTAGGAAATGCTCCATGCGTATCTGACTCCATCCTTCTCTATTTTCAGTTTACATCTCATGCCTTGCCCTCAGAGAAAATGGAGTACACCTAGTTACCATCTTCGAATTTAAAATGCTTCCTTGAGTGGAAAAACAGCACATGCTTGTATGATCTGTAACTATGAATTAATGTGATGTGGTTATTTTCAGTTAGATTTCACATTTAGAACTATATTACAGCAGCCAGGCATGGTGACAGGCACCTGTAGTGCCAGCTACTTTGAGAGGCTGGGGTGAGAGGATTGTTTGAGCCCAGGAGTTTATGTCCAGCCTGGGCAACATAGTGAGACCCTGTCCCTAAAAAACATATATACACACACACACATACACACACACACACAACATATATAAATATAAAAGGTAAAATATATATGTGTGAGTGTGCATATATGACTGTATGAGACATAAGAGAGAGAGTCTACTGAAATTTCTCCTATTACATATATAGGGACCTATATTATAAGAAATATATATAAATAAATATATAAATATGAATAATATATAAAAGAAAGCATAGTATGAGAAATTTCAGTAGACTGTCTCTCTTATATCCCTATATATTTACTTCTCTATTTAAAATTCTATATGTTGGCACTTTCTGCTTAACAGGAAGAAGTATATATGTGTATATATGTTTGCTTTTCCATATCTTTTAATAATAATAATGTGAGCTAAGCATACCTAGCTATGCCTTCATTTACTGGTGGATTAGAAAAAGAAGCATCGTTTTACTTACCTTTGGAATAGTCTGATAAACATCCTAGGGAAATGTGGTGGCATATTAACATAGCAGCGATCAACGGTGCCCTTCAGGCTAGTGCTTCTCAACTGGGGGTTATGTTGCTCCTTCCCCCTTTCCCCAGGAGACATGGGCAATGTCTGGAGACATTTTTAATTGTCACAACTGGATGTGTGTATGTGTAATGTCATCTAGTATGTGGGCTCCCACAATAAAGAATTATCCACTTTGGGAGACTGAGGCGGGCGGATCACGAGGTCAGGAGTTCAAGACCAGCCTGGCCAATATGGTAAAACCCCATCTTTACTAAAAGTACAAAATTAGCCAGGCGTGGTGGCGCATGCCTGTAGTCTCAGCTACTTGAGAGGTTGAGGCAGGAGAATTGCTTGAACCCGGGAGGCGGAGGTTGCAGTGAGCCAAGTCATACCACTGCACTCCGGCCTGGGTGGCAGAACAAGACTCTGTCTCAAAAAACAAAAACAAAAACAAAAAAATGAATCATCTAGCCCAAAATGTCAATAGTACTGATGTTTTAAAAAAGCCTGCTTTACACTAAACCTGCAGATTCTGAATGCTGAAGGTTAGAGAAGCGAGGCATGTACACTTGAAAAGTTAAATGTAAACAAATGATAAAATATCAAGATGGAACAAGACATTAAAGGAGATCGTGTGTAACTTCTCATCTGAATCTGAAATCCAGTAATTGAATTCAACCTACCTACTGTCTGGGCTCTCAGCAGGAAAATACTGCTTTAGGATACATATATTGAGTACTACTTTTGCCTTTAAGTTGTAATTATGATTTTTTTAAACAAAAGGACTTTAAAAAATTCAACATAGTTTCCAGACATTGATATTTCAGATAAATATATTCTCACTTCCCATTTTTGATACATTTACAATGTTTCTTAATAGAACATGCATGTATATGCATGTCTAATGCATTTAACATGTAAAGAAGTAATCATTTGTAGGGTTTTTGTTTTTTTCTTTTTTTTTGAGACAGGGTCGTATCCTGTCACCCAGGTTGGAGTATAGTGGCGTGATCTTGGCTCACTTCAACCTCTGCCTCCTGGGTTCTAGTGATCCTCTCACATCAGCTTCCTGAGGAGCTTGGACCACAGACACACACCACCACACCCAGCTAATCTTTTTTTATTTTTTATTTTTTTGGTAGAGATGAGGTTTCACTATGTTGCCCAGGATGGTCTTGAACTCCTGAGCTCAAGTGATCCGCCCACCTCAGCCCCTCAAAGTGCTGGAATTACAGGTGCGAGCCACCATCCCAGCTGGCTATTTTTTTCTTAAGAACATTTGGTTTAAAGACTGTTACTTATTACACTTTAAATATAAACCATAATATAAAAGACTGATATTCCTGGGCGAAATTACAGTATTACATCTGATTGGAAAGGAATTGTCACTTAGGCATTAATAAACGAATAAGGAGTTTCTGTTTAAGAAAACAACTTGGCCAGGCATGGTGGCTCATGCCTATAATCCCAGCACTTTGGGAGGCTGAGGTGGGAGAATGGCTTGAGCTCAGGAGTTCGATACCAGCCTGGGCAACACGGTGAAACCCCATCTCTACAAAAATTACAAAAATTAGCTGGGCGTGGTGGTATACACCTGTGGTCCCAGCTACTCAGGACGCTGAGAGAGGAAAATCAACTGAACTCAGCAGGCAGAGGCTGCAGCCAGCTGAGTTGGAGCCACTACATCCTGGGTGACAGAGCAAGACCCTATCTCAAAACAAAAATGAAAACAAAGAAAAAAACTTACTTTGAAGCCCAATAAAATTCTGAATGTTGATGTATGAGTCTACTGAAGAGACTATTTTATTAAAATAGTCCTATTTTAATGGCTTTTTTTTTTTTGGTCTTATACCACCCCCTAAAAAATACAGTCAATTATCATTATCTACAGTAGTAATGTTCTATAAAGTCTGTGTGAACACTGAATTAATAAATTCAGTGGAATATAGAATCCCAAGAGGCATACAGGATTAGGTTTCTGTGAGCCTCTGGTCACAACATTTTTGTCAGCTGAACAATATATTGCCTTGTTTTATGTGTGTTTCTGTTTAAAGACAGTTTATTTGATCTTAGGCTCATGCCAACAGCACTGCAACTCAGGCCTGAATGAAGTTATCTAACTCATGTATTTTCTCCGTAAGGCACATCACAGTCTTTCAGGGCTTAGGAGCACTAGGTAGTACCTCACCAGTATGTTTGGAGGCGATTTCAAGTAGCAAAATCACCAACAAGAAGCACAAACATGCAGAAAATGTGGCACAAAATAGATCACAAAAATAACCCTTGTTTACAGTGTTGGAGTTGAAGTCAGAAGGAAGAACATTGCTTTGTTTCATCTCAGCTGGGAATACGTGCATTGAGAGGCTTGCGTTGCCCCTCTGCATTCGTCAGTGAATGACCATGAAAGTCTGGGAGCATTGATTTGGGGGATTACAATTTGGGGAGTATTGATTTGGGAGCGATTGATTATCAAGTGGGCAAATGTGCAAACACAGAATCCATGAATAATGACGATGGATTGTATTTAGAAAATATACTCATAGAAGAAGCTCTAAAGTGAATTAGGTGCAAGTTATGGGAGATACATACATACATATGGGAGATACTTGAGACAGTGTCTCACTCTGTTGGCCAGACTGAACTGCAGTGGCATGATCATGGCCCACTGCAAGCTCGACCTCCCCGGCTCAAAGGATCCTCCCACTTCAGCCTCCTGCGTAGCTGGAACTACAGGCACACACCACTGTGCCCAGTTAATTTTTTTGTATTTTTTTGTAGAGATAGGGTTTTGCCATGTTGCCCAGGCTGGTCTCAAACTCCCGGCCTCAAGTGATCCACCTACCTCAGTCTCCCAAAGTGCTGGGATTACTGGCATGAGCCACTGCACGTGGCATGGGAGATATTAACGGCCCTTAGTAACCACGGATAAATGTGAGCATTAGCAGTGGATTGAGTCTTTCTCAGTCCCGACTCCTATACCTCCTTAGCATAGTAATCAGGACTCTACTTCTAGAAAGGTTTGCTTTCAAATGAGCCATTTTAAAGGACTCTTCTTTTGGGGGGTGGGTGGTGGCAGTCTGAGGCCAGGTGGATGGAGTGATTGGTCAAAGATCACAAAACTGGTTACCAAAAAAAATCTAGCAGAATAAAATACACTGGTGTCTTGTTCTTCAAACCCATTTTACTCTCACACCTCTGGCTTTCTTACATTGCTGCATGGTAGAGATACCAAAGTTCGTGTGCTGTTGATAGGAATGAAAACTTGATTACTAACAATACAAAATGTATCTGTTGAGTGATATTTCTTTACTAGTTTCATCTGTACACAAACCCCATTTTTGATATTTAGTATATCTCTGTGGCAGGTAAACTACAAAGATTAGTTTGCCTAAAATCACCACTAACAGTTGGATTATTTTGACCCTTAGAGCAACCCTTTCAGCCTCTATCTCTGCCCTCACAACTCATATCAAAACAAGAAACTTTGCTTGAGATTAATTTCCTCCCTGATATATTGGTAGGTCTGTGTAGGAAAAAATAATTTGAAGTTTTCTCTTGACACAGTACTGTGATTACACTCCCTCAAGAACTAACAGACTAGCACTTTCTGTCTATTGGTGGATAAAATTATGCCTAATAACACACTTATGACTTGATAAAGGCAGTCTTACTTGAAGCTCATTTTGACTTTGCAGAAATTGGAAGTAAAATGATGACCTGTATACATTGATTTTTTTAATAGACACAACTATTTTATATCTTATTATAAGCAATCAATTGGACTTATGGTGAGCTGGCTGATCTCTGCATTATCCAGACAGAGAAACAATCTTTAATATATTTCTCTATTTCTCAGCTATTACTTTAGAAGTACAAAGTATTCATTAAGACATTGAATTACATCATAGAATTCAACCAGGGAACACTTAATATCCCTTTCAAATTTTAGTAATTCACATTGGCCATCCTTCTGGTTAAGAAAATCCGTAGTATTTTGGAACTGGAAGAGACTTTATGGATTTATGGACTCTAGACTTATTATTTTAGAGGAAGCATGTTAAAATCTATAGAACTTAAATATCTTGCCCAAGATGAGCTATCTAATATTAAAGGACAGCAGCCAAAGCTAAAATTTCTGTCTCTCCTAAAATCAGGCCTGTGCTATTTCTGTCATCATCGTTGCCATGGAGGAAATAAGGTTTTACTAGATGTCAAAATTTCATCATTGTTATGTGGTAAACACCAGTATATACATGTGTGGGTTTATGTGTGTGCATACACAGTAAGATCTAGTTTTGTCTTTTTCAGTCATACATCATTTTTCTACGAAACAAAGAAGAATCAGAGCAATAAAAGAAATGGCCAGGGTCTTGGTTCCTGGAGGCCAGCTGATGATTTACGTTTGGGCAATGGAGCAAAAGAACCGTCGCTTTGAGAAGCAAGACGTGCTCGTTCCATGGAACAGGGCCCTGTGTTCCCAGCTCTTCTCAGAGTCCAGCCAGTCTGGGAGGAAGAGGCAGTGTGGACACTCAGAAAGAAGCCATCCCTACCATCCTCCTTGCTCTGAGTGTAGCTGTTCTGTTTGTTTTAAAGAGCAGTGTGGTTCAAAACGGTCCCACAGTGTGGACTATGAACCTGCTATGGCAAGAACTTGTTTTGCAAATATTTCTAAGGAAGGAGAGGAAGAATATGGATTCTACAACACATTAGGAAAATCATTTCGTTCCTGGTTTTTCTCCAGGTCTTTGGATGAGTCAACTCTGAGGAAGCAAATTGAAAGAGTAAGACCCTTGAAAAACACAGAAGTTTGGGCCAATAGCACTGTAACAGTCCAGCCTTCCAGACACTCTAGTTTAGACTTTGATCACCAAGAGCCATTTTCAACAAAAGAGCAAAACTTAGATGAGGAAGTGTTTGTGGAATCTTCTTCTCGAAAACACTTAGAGTGGCTGAGAGCAACAGGCACTCTGAAGCATTTAAATGGAGATCATCAAGGAGAAATGAGGAGAAATGGAGGGGGGAATTTTCTGGATAGCACTAATACCAGTGCGAATTGTGTGGATGCAGGTAACTTAGAAGATGATAATCCTTCTGCTAGTAAAATATTGAGAAGGATTTCTTCAGTCGGTTCCACAGATTCCAACGCAGATGATACAATGTCTGTCGAAGATCCACAGCCTGATCTTTTGGACTCCAGAGCCTTTATGCGCTACTACCACGTGTTTCGAGAAGGGGAGCTCTGCAGTCTGCTCAAGGAGAATGTATCAGAGCTCCGTATCCTGAGTTCTGGAAATGATCATGGTAACTGGTGTATCATTGCAGAGAAAAAGGGAAGTTGTGATTGATTGGATCCTTTTAGACAACTCCTCCAAAAGACGAACCACATGTTTTTCACTAGGTTTGATATGGTTACCTGAATTTGCATTCAGTGTTATTGGTTAATACATTTATGATTTGGTCTGCAGAGACTGTGAATTATATGGTTGTTTTTGTTTTTATCTTTGAATAAGCACAGATCCTGGCACTGAAAGCACTTGAGAAAGGGTATTTGTGCTTAAATGTTAATATAAAAGATCTGAAGAAGCAACAGAAAATGCCCTTCAGTACAGCTCAGATTTTTTTTTAACCCCTGAGAGATAAAATACATTTATAGTGTTTTTCAGTGTTACACATGGATTTAAAAAGATGATGCTGTTAAATAATCTTTTAAAACAGTATTTTTATAAAGTGAGGGGATAATTTCTGGTTCTCAGGTTATAACTGAGAGCAGTGTGCAAGATAATAGGTAAACTTGATCCATTGCACAAATATACATTGAACCATGTGATGACTTATCTTGCTGCCAAGGTCTTGCTTCTACTTAAAGTTTTCAGAAAACTGAGTAACAGTAGAGAGAACCAAGAAGTGTTACAAGGACTTTTCTAAATTGTAAGCTAACTTGCTTCAAAATAAGTTGACATGTGATAGTAAGGTTTTCAATGTAACCCAGGAGGTTTTTAAAGGCACTGTTAGGCTGAGCATGGTGGCTCATGCCTGTAATCCCAGCACTTTGGGAGGCCAAGGCAGAAGGATCACTTGAACCCAGGAGTTCAAGAGTAGCCTGGGCAACACAGCAAGACCCCATCTCTATAAAAAATTAGCCAGGTGTGGTGGTGCAAGCCTGTCATCCGCACTACTCAAGAGACTGAGGCAGGAGGATCACGTGAGTCCAAGAGTTCAAGGCTGCAGTGAGCTATGATTGCACCACTGCACTGCAGCCTGGGCAGTACAACAAGACTCTGTCTCAAAATAATAATAATAATAATAATAATAATAATAAAGGCATTGTTAGCTTGTAAGTAGTGGAGGATGTAGGTACTAGTAGTTATATGCAAGTACCCAAGTAGTATTCTTCCAATCTTATTAGAAGCATGAATATTCAAGATTGATATTACTATTGCTTATTAGCAAGATTGTTATCAGTCATGCTTATTAGAAGCATGAATATCCAAGACCAGGATTGACTAATGATGAGTCTGCATCAAGAACTAGGCATTTCTTTTGAGTTGACAGACTCTTTAGGAAAGGAGAATCTAGGTGAAGCACTGATTTTGGCTCTGAGAACAAACAGATTAAGGTACAGCATAGTTAGCCTTGGTAGAGGTATGACTGGGATTTGCTGTATCCTTTAAAATAGTATCTGGGCATTTATTTTATTGAAGGCAACTATATTTTATTAGTTATGTTAGGAATTTAGGTAGAATCAACTTCTACTTATTAAAGGTTGAATTTCTGTCACTTTGTAGAGAAATGAATAGACTGGACACTGTGTGGTCAGTGTTTAGATTTGCCCATGGGTCTGTTTAAATCTATGTCATGGATCCTGAGACATATATAATTAAGACAGGTCTAGAGACAGGAGAAGCAGAAATAAGCTGACCCAGGAGTACAGTCTCAAGTAGTTCATGAATGAGAAAATGGACATCTGGCAAGAGTCTTTTTACTTTATCCTGGCTGAAAATCCAAATCTTGTTTTATTTTTTCCACTAAAAGTAACTAAAATAATAACGAATTTCATTTGTTCTTGGGTTCTTTTTTCCTTTAATGATTGTGCTATAACTTAAAATAATCATGTTACTTTTGAACATTTTTAAAGCATATCTGAAAACGATTGATGTTTATAACTCTCTTTTGGCTTCAAAATAAGATTGTGTTATCACCATTTTGATAGATGAGGTTGTCTCATGAAAATGATGTATATGACTTCTACCGTTCAGTGTACATCCTGCAGTAGTGGACGATTGAAAACATATATAAGCGGAGTATAAATTAAAGATTAATTTGGTTTCTTCTATTCCTTAATTTAGCATGTTAAACCATGACTGTAAGGGATTTTCTTGGTAAAAAGAGAAGATTCTCAGAGTCAAAAATGTTCTTACAACTCGGGCTTGATGGCCTTTGAATTAGGAATAGATTGTTCCTCTCTCTGAAGCCTGTTTTCACATGGGTTTTTAATCCTGGCCTTGCTGCTAGAAATCTGTGCTTGAAGTCGTCTCTTTCTGGTGGTAACCTACCACTTAAAAGTCATGACGTGGTGGAACTCAGTTTACGAGACTCTTTAGCCTTTGAGCTAAACTGAGCAACCTCTTAGATGTACACACACCACTTTGTATGAAAGGGTTCTCTAGAATGGTTCTTTGGAGAGAAATATTTTCAGGTAATTTTGACAGGGGTGTAAATAAAGCATGGTGACTAATAACTCTTTCACTCTTCATCTGATGAACATAAGAATCTATGCATCCAGATATTATTTTGTATACAAATATTTAACTTGGTGATTGACAATCTCTCTTTGGGGTAGTCACATGGAAAGCTCTTTTAAATTTAACTTCTGCCTTTGGATTTTTTTTTTTTTTAAAAAAGCCATTGAAGAGCAAAACTAATGTAAATGTCTTGATCATTTAAAAAGTTTACTAGTCCTCGAAAGGAAACATGAGTCATCAGTGAGTATAAACGTAGACAGTTGATTTGTGAATGCTGTCGGCCTCAACGTGCTTGATAATAGATTCTACCGATCTAGCTGGAGTGATTTGATCACTTACTTCCTTATTAACACTAGATCACACAGTGTCTTTCTTATTCCCTCTTCTTTACTTACTGGCATGAGCACAGAGTCCCACTATCTGAAAGAGAAGGGAGAATTTGGGGGATTATTGGAGGATTCTTACAAACTTGGTTGGCAGCTGGGCACGATGGCTCATGCCTGTAATCTCAGCACTTCAGGAGGCCGAGGTGGGTGGATCAACTGAGGTCAGGAGTTTGACACCAGCCTGACCAACATGGTGAAACCCCGTCTTTATTAAATACAAAAAATTAGCTGGGTTGGTGGTGCATGCCTATAATCTCAGCTACTTTGGAGGCTGAGGCAGGAGAATCGCTTAAACCTGGGAGGCGGAGATTGCAGTGAGCCGAGATTGTGCCATTGCACTCCAGCCTGGGCAACAAGAGTGAAACTCCATCTCAAACAAAACAAAACAAAACAAAACAAAACAAAACTTTGTTGGCTTCCTGATGCCTCACTGTCTATTTGAGGAATTCCATGGAATCTTCAAAGGATTTGGGGGAAAGTGCATTAACGTGGACAAAGGATGGAATCAAAATAATGTTATAGTGGGAATAATTCCAGCACCTATTTAATTTTTTTCCAATTGCCAGCATAGTGATGATATGATACCAGCATATCAAAGTAACTAACAAACTAGCTACACAAACATCTTGGAGTTTGGTTTGGTTCTCTTTTCTCATCACAGATCTCTGTGCAGAATAGTGCTAATCCTTATTTCTTGTTTGCCTTTCTATTTCCTTCCAAATTCTACATGCCAAGAATTCCTCTGTCTTTTAAGTGGCCATCAACTCAATAGGCAAAAATTTGGAATAATCCAGAGAAAAAAACAATCCAGATATAAACCAGGTAGGAACATGAATGGCCCTGAATATTAATGACCCCCCCCCAAAAAAGGCACTGGTGAATTTTTAAATTAAATTAATACATATATATGTACATATGTATGGGTTTGTAGGAGAACAGAAGGTCTAACTCAGGAGTTGGACTTGGTGGGGGAGGGCACAGGTTAAATGTGAGCTGTGAGCACCCAGTTTGGGAGGAAGGAGGAAATGGGAACCAACTGCCAGTCAAGCAACTGCAGTCTAAGTAGAACAAATTAAGGCAGGCCTCAGCATCTCTTTCCGATTACATAGAAAATCTGAAATAAGAATAGCTGTGAACATTTCTTAATATACAACATTCATTAGTTTATATGCAGTCCTCACCACAGCCCTCCAAGATAAGTATACTTATTGTTCCCATTTTGCAGATGAGGAAAACTGAGGCAGAAAGAAATTAAATTGCTTAAGGTTACACACATAGTAGGTATTACACATTTAGTCAGAGGCAGAGCTGGGATTCAAACTCAGGTCTGGCTCCTAGCCTCTGCTCTTAACCACAACACCATATACTCCCACCCCTGGGCCCAGCTCATGTGCTTGGCAGAGTATTAGAGCCTTTCAAGGTAAGTGTGATTATCCGCTTTACAAATGAACTTTGGAAAAGTTAAGCAAAGATTACACAGCTAGACAGTAATTCAATAGTAGTCTTTTACCTATTTTTCCTTTTATTTTTTCATTTGTAAATCTGTTTTAATTTGATTTGAATTCAAAAATAGTACTTGATTGCAAAATATTCTGGGACCACTTTTCTCCAACTCTTCAACTTTTCAACAATTATATTATTGTTTTCCCATTTTATAAGTAAGGCAACTGAGGACTATTCAGATATTTCATTCACTCCATTTGTTTACTAGGCCCTGCTGTGTGCTGGATACACAATCTGCTGTGTGCTGGATACATATGATACAAAGGAATGACTATCTGGCATCTTGAAGGTACCCAGAATATTGGACTTAATTGACCTGAAGGTGCCAAGCTGGAACATTCTTCATATTCCCTGTGTGCCTATTACCAAGTTATATTGTTTAGTTTGAGAGAAAAAAAAAAAAAACCCTCCCTTAGAGAATCACGATGCATATTAGCATATTTAAGGACTACTAAAACTTAGACTTAATCTAGCCTGCCTTAGACATATTAACATCCGGTAGCACAAGTGTTCTGTGAGATATATTTCAGAAAAATACAGAATAAACACAGACTCCTTTGGATGGCATTCAGGCCCTTCATAAACTAACTCTGAATTATTTTTCAGTCTCATTTCCTGCAATTGCACCCGATTTTTTCTGTTCTGCAATCTGCTATTTTAGACAAAGCTTTCATAAGAAATTACATAATGACAAGTAATTCCCACATTCCCTGGATATATACTTGGATTTCAAATGCCATAATTGTAATCTTTCTCCAAAGAAAAATGCACGATACAGGCTTCATTCCATCAAGAGGCATATGAGGTAAGTGTTATTATACACGCGTCCAGCAGATGGGAAAACCACGGAAGTGGAAGGGAATCAGAGACGCATTAACAGACCCTCAAACAACCATAATGCTTAACTCCTCTTGTTCCAATCTTGACTCAAAATTAGGATTATTTTGATTATTTGATGATTGTTTTGATAGTATAAACTCCATATCTGCAACCTCAGTTATCTACAAAACTGAAGTGCAAACATTGAAAAAGAACTCTCACCAACCAAGGATTGAAATTGTAATGCAAATAGAAAGGGCTCCGCTTGAGTGCACAATCAGAAACCGAAGACAGTTGACCAAAGAGAAAATTCTAGCTGAATTGTCCTATTTTTAATTCCCCAGGGATCCCACTGTCTATGACACATTAACAGCGGTGTGAATCATTTCTGTTACATCACATACTCTGTCCTCTCGTGATGCGGGTCTTCCCCAATTGAGTATGTGCAGATAATCAATGACTTTATCTGGGAGGGATTGGAGCTATAGATTATTCTATCTGACCAATCTGATGGACCATTTGTAAGAGCTGATTGCCAGATTGGATCTTCATTTGACAAATAAATACTAGAGCTACAGAAAGTAAAGTTTACTCCCACCCAATTAATCATTAATTCATCCACAGGAAAAATACGTTTTCTCCACATGGAATATTGATTTTTCTATGAATATTACCTCCACATTGAAAAACGACTGAGTCACTGAAGTTAAGCCAGTGTACCTTGACGTTGAATTCCCTGAAGAAGGTACAGTTATATTTACATTCCCTTAGCAAGAATTTGGTTAAGTGGTAAGCATTTTTCTCTTTTCTTTCTTTCTTTTCTTTTTTTCTTTTCTTTTCGTTTTTTTTTTTTGTTTGTTTGTTTGTTTTTTGTTTGTTTGTTTGTTTTTTTGAGACCGTGTCTCTGTCACCCAGGCTGGAGTACAGTAGTGCAATCTCAGCTCACTGCAACCTCTGCCTCCCAGGTTCAAACAATTCTCGTGCCTCAGCCTCCCAAATAGCTGGGATTACAGGAACGTGCCACCACTCCTGGCTAATTTTTGTATTTTTTGTTAAGTAAAGATGAGCTTTCAACATATTGACCAGGCTGGTCTTGAACTCCAGACCTCTTATGAGCTAATCATACCACTTCTAACGAGATTTTCTATTAATGTACAAGGAGGGACTCCACTACTAAAGTTTGTTTTACTTCTCTGGTAATTTACACAGAACGCTGGCAATACATTAAGGCTCACTAATGTGGACCTAAGTGGAATTTCTGAGAGGCTTTGAATATGTATGTGCAAACTGTCCTATTTTCTTCATATGCTCTCTTAAATATGTATGTATGTAAATATGTATATGACACATATATATATTCCCAGACATCTAGGATTTGCTGTTATTAGTGACCAAGAAAAAGTAGTTCTTTTGTGCACGTGTGAAAACATCAAATTAGCAATTACCATAGAAATATATTTCATTGAATAACTAGGTTTTGTTTGTTTGTCTGTTTCAGGGAAATGTAAAACAATTATTAGATGTTATTGTGCCTCTTGTGTTGATATGTGTATTTGGGTCAAAAGTGCAAAAACTTTTTTCTACAATATACAGTTATTTTGGCTTTTCCCAGGGGAAGCTAGCAATAGTTTTAAAAGCACAAATTGATGTAAAATATTTTGACTCTTAAAATAATGTGAAGAAATTTTATTTGCATTAACCAAAAATGTTTAGGATCTTTTTGTAGTAAGAATATTTTAAATGGTGTAATTTGTATGTTTATGATATGTATTCAATTATTTAAATTAGGTCTCAATGCATTTTTTAAAAGGTGGGCTCCCAGGTGAACAAAACTTTGCTTTTCTTCTCCATTCTGTACAGGACAAGCATTATTTAGTTCACACAGTCAGCTCTCACTACACTTCAACCAGACGGGGCAAGTTCGTATTTGAATTCTGTTATCTTTCTCTAAGGGAAGCAAAATTAACCATTTAATACTAGATTATCTTTAATGGTTATTAAAAGAATGTTAATTACCAAAAATACATATTTGGAGATTAATAAAGATGTATTAGACTATCCAAAAGTGGATGCGTGCAAATGTGATCCTAATCTAGAAAGGATGTCATTTTTGTATGTTGCTTGGGAGGTAGGCAAGTTTGTTCTCTTTCCTGACCTGCTCCATCTGCAACTTGTCAGCTCATTACCAGCATGGGGGTGTGAAACGAGGGAGGATTTGCGCCGGCCCTGCTGTGGCTCTCATGCCACTCAGAGGGATGCAATCTTGCAGCATCAGAGGATGCAATCTTGCAGCAGATGGTGCCCCCTGGTATGGCGCAGCTTCTGACGGCTCCTCACCTGTGATGGAAGAAGCTACCCTGGGCTCTCTGAGCATCAGGTTGGCCTCAGGTGGCTGCTTGAAAGGCAAAATCATGACAAACAAAATTCACTCTGAAGCGATTCCTTTGCAAGAATCAGTGAGACTCTGTCCTGTGCTTTGTACTCTGCCAGAAACCTCCCAGTTTAAAACCATTGCTAGTTATTGTCTTTAGAAGCCATCCCTTCTTCCATCTTTGTGCTTATTTTCTATTTTGGAAATATCTAAGCATAAATTCAGTTTTAAAATTATATATTTAACAGATGTATAGTGGTTTACAGTTTCAATGGGTGAAATCAGAAGGAAACTGTCAACGTCAGTACACTTCACTCCCCACCGCATCCCGGATGCAGGGCACGGAAGATAATCCCCATGCAAGCACGCATGCGAGGAAAAGCAGCAGATGCTTGGGATACCAGAAACCTTGGGAGCCACTGACTCTGAGAAGGAGTGACTTGCAAAGCCAAGAACCAGATCCATATGCTTCTTTCTGCATTCCTCCACACACACCTGCGTTTGCATTCCTCCAGACAGTTGTCCTATGCATCCATCCAGATCTTTGTCACACCGCAGTTCCACTTCAGGGTCCCATCTGCAAAAGAAATGCCTTGATCCCACAGCTCCATGTTGATCTTCTCCTCACCATCTACAGCCCTTTGCATTTAGGGGCATTTGGCAACACTACTCGCTTTACACCTTTTACAATTTAGCAGTTAAAAAACCATTCTGCATCAGCCACAAGTTTTCCCTTATGTCTCCACCAAGTTTTTGTTAAGGGGGATAGTTGACCAAGGCCATTCCAGCTCCAGTCACTTTCTGCCTAGCAACAGTCATCCTCCTCCAGATCCCTGGGTTCCACCTCTGTAGATTCAAGCAATATTTGAAGAAAGGAGATTGTGTCTATGCTAACACGTACAGACATTTTCTCTTGTTATTATTCCTTAAACAATAGAGTATACCAACTACTTACACTGTGTGATGTATTATAAGGAACCTGAAGATGATTTAATGTCTTAAGGAGGATGTGTCAGTAATGTGCAAATGCTGTGCATCATTTCTATATCAGGACTTGAGCATCCATGGATCTGGTATCTGAGGGGTGTCCTGGAACAAACTGCCCACAGATATCGAGGGACCAAGGTATTTTTATCCTCCATGTCACCCCTGCCCTGACCTCCAGAAACAAACAATCATTTGCCGCTTTAAAGGACCTACTCTAAATGAGCAACAGAGGAGCTTCTCCCACGCACCACTGACTGCCCGCCTGCCTTCAGCCTTGTGGGGAGGAAGAGCCCTGGCCCTGACTGATGGAACTCAGCTCCTGGGATCAGCTGCGCTAGAGGGTCATGTCCCAGCTTCATTGACTTCTGGCATCCTTAATCTCCTTAGGAGATAACCTCTCCTCTCAGGCCCTTAGACCAAGTGGCGCCTCTCCACCTTCTGAGACGTCAGGTGTGAAGAATACGCTTTATTTATTTGCTAGATTTCGTTTGAATACTGGGATGAAAACTAGTCATGTGGACTTGGTCCTCGGGGTTAATTGTCCAAGTGTAAAAACAAACCACCAGTGAATGATGTTTGACCATCAGTTACAAGTTTTTCTTTCTCTTGCAATGAAACAGCTCACAATAACTGAAAATGAAGGGCGTGGTAAGTTGAGATAGAGATATCCCTTCCTTCCCAACACCCCACCCCCTGAAAATCAGGGTAGGTACTTGCTAGGAGCTTCTTGCTGCAGAAGAGAACTCACAGCCACTTTGAAGTGAACCCCACCATCTTTGAGAGGCCAGGTCCTCACAGTGTCTGCACCCAGAGACTCTACTGAGGGAGGGTGGAACAGGCCCCACTCACCAGCAGAGCTGCTCGCAGCCGTGAACCGGAGCCCCAAGATGCTGCCCAGGAGGAAGAAACCTGACTTGAATAGGCCCCCGATGTCAAAGGGGCTTGGAGACTGAGCCCTGGCCTGGCCTGCCCGAGGCCTAAGACATTCCGTCCATGCCGCAATAAGGCTTGGCTTCAACCTTTTCACCAGAGTAGGGGGCCACTCACTGGCCTGGTTCTTGCTGCGTGGGAGAGCACTGTCCCCACCCCAGAGGCAACCAAAGCTTCCTCAATAAAACAAATGTAGTTGAGCCCCAAAGTTCCAGGAAATAAGATGACTCCAGGAGAAGGTGATTGTTAGGGTGTCTGACTCAACCCTATACTCTTGTTTGGCTAAGGAAGGAACTTCGGTGTGATGGATAAAGTGA